TTTTTTTTTTTCATGTAAGCTATAGCTCATACTCATTATTTTATGACATCAATTACTGCTTTATTTAATCAGAAACACAGTCTAAATGTTATTTGTGTAGGCTATTTTACTTTTAATTTAATTAGAAGTAGGCCAACAGCGCCCCCTACAGATTAAAACGTCTTACTGAGCGGGCATTAGGACCCGGGGGAGGCTGCCGCTGCACATGCTATTATTGTTTACTCTATCACACACCGAACGCTTCATTCTGTACATGCTTTCACAGAATAAATGCAGCGATCCAAAACAGTCAATCTAATCATCATTCAGACAAAACTTTGCTTCAAGAATAAGCCACACTGCTGACGTGATCTAATCACTAGCATACCCTGAGCACATGTGAGTTAATGCATTCCTCTTATCGGCAAGACATATTGGCATAATTTTTCATATAGGGCCGATGCCAATATTTAAATTTAAAGTCATTATCGGCCGATTCTGATATCAGTCCGATAATATCGTGAATCCCTAATATGTTAAGTATGCATTTAGCCCCTATTTTATTTTTCTTAGAAAGCACAATGCTAGGGCCTTTTGCTTTCATAAATCTGATCTCATATGATGAAATAAATTGACTCAGTGATGTGAGTGGTCAAACACAGGCTTTTGTCTCAAATGGCCTTCTTAAAAATGCAGGTGTGCTTGGTTGTGGAGTGTAAAGACACACGAACCTTTGTTGTAGAGTTTGAGTCTCTGCTGGACTGAAGTAATGGCTCCCAGCACTGACAGCCGGTTCACTCGACTCTTGATGTTTGACGCTGTACCAAACTCATCCGCTAACATCTTGGCCACTCTGGAGATCTGATCTTTAGGAGGAATGATGAGCGAGATCATGCTGGTCCCATTACTGACAGAGAGAAACAAACGCCAATGTTATTCATTTACATTTATGAATTTGGCATATGCTTTTATCCCAAGCGACTTGCATTGCAGTCAAGGCACACATTCTATCAGTACATGCATTCCCCGGGACTCAAACCCTTGAACATGACCGTTGCTAGCGCCATCATCTACTGGTTGAGACACAGGAATTGATATTCAGCTTGATAAAACCATCAAACTGACAAATTACTGTCAATTAACCAAATTACAGAAAGGAAAAATGTCCAAAATAAAGCGAGCTGTTACTTGCTACCTACGAAGCAGCCCTTTTAAGGCAGGATCCTAACTCAAAAGGTGACTGATTTGGAACACTAAATAGTCACCAATACTTAATTTGCATAACAACAGAGACATTGCCATGTTCAACACACAGAAATATTGCTTTTTGATCAATACAATTATGTATTAAGTAATTAACTGAAAAAATGTGCAGAAATGATTTTCACTGCTAGTCAATTTCACAAATAAAGAATTGACAAGTATCATAAACATATAATATTTAAGTAAAGAAATGAAAAGTCCAACATTAAATTGGCATTTGCACACAATTTTACTTCTGTAACGTGACATTTCCAGATGAAACATTTTTCAATGAGATAAAAGGACATGAATAGACCAGGTCTTTCTCAAATCTTTCATTATTTGCCATTACTTGAATATAGACTTGATCGGTGTCGCGTCATAGCTGTGTGGGCGGAGTCACAACATGTTTTGCTACACTAACCATAGTTTAACCATGGTATTTGTAGTAAAACTGTGGTTATAGGCTACAATTGGTAATAAAAATGCCCAAAAAAAAAAAAAATGGTTAGCCTACTATACTTTTACTATAGTAATACCATTGCTAATTTTCATAAGGGATTGTGCATAATAATATGAAATAAATGTTTTAATAGATTATGACACCACAAAATATCAGGGAGTGAGATTTATTTGATTGCGATGCGAAGGAGGGTTACTGTGAGCCCCATCAGAACTGGGTTGCGGTGTAGGGGGACGGGACTAACGACAGATCATTGCAGTGTATCAGTCATATACATCGTCAGATCAGG